TTATTTTAAATATGACAGAGAAAATACTCCTGAAAGTCTTATACTAAGACTTTGGTACAAATTAACATGAATGAGAAACGTGCTAGAAACATATTCCTGGAAATTTGTGTTGAAGAATGTGAGAGTTCATTAACAAGTTAATTTTCTGATGGGTGAAAAACATTGATTTCTTTTCTCCCACTCTGAAACAAAACATGCAAGGAGCATTTTGATGACAGAGAAAATACTCCTGAAAGTCTTATACTAAGACTTTGGTACAAATTAACATGAATGAGAAACGTGCTAGAAACATATTCCTGGAAATTTGTGTTGAAGAATGTGAGAGTTCATTAACAAGTTAATTTTCTGATGGGTGAAAAACATTGATTTCTTTTCTCCCACTCTGAAACAAAACATGCAAGGAGCATTTTGCTGTAAAAAGTCTTTCTGGTCAATTAAAAGATCTTCTTAGGATTTTTAATTTATTATCATGTGCAAAATAATGGATTTAGGTTTGTGTAAGATGTTTTGAAGTGGAACTGCACATGAAATGCAGCTTTTTAATGATGTTGTTAAAACTGACACTTGGAAAAATCACAAGAATGAAACTTTTATAGGGGCAAGGAGGAAAAGGATCTGCTCAGAGTTAATTTCACTCACCTTTGGAAATCTGTTCCTCTGACTTTCTCCCATTGTCTGCTGTGTGTGTACTTGGGAGGGTCATAACACCTAAATATTTGTCCTGCTGTTCTTAGAGACTTGGAGTTTGTTCACAGAATAACTGTAGAAAACAAAACCTTCCAATTGGCATAGATGTGTTAAAATTGAGGAACATGTTATTTGGTTTAGTTTTTCATGAACTTTAGTATGGATTCCAGGTAGTGGAGTCTAGCTGAAGATGGAAAGGTGGTGCTTGGAAGAAGAGTGGGATCTCTGATGCTTTTATGAACACTGGGAATTAAGCGTCCCTGAGCTCTGCATTCAATTAACATCTTGACTCAGAGCTGCATCAAGTCTCTGAGAGCTCCTGAGGAGAAGACAAGTGACTTTACTCCCTCAAACTGGACAAATTAGCATGAAGAGAAGGAAAGAGCAGAGAAAGTGCAAGGAACTTATATTAATAAATTGTATCCATTCCTGAGGTGTTACAGTAAGGGATTTCAGTTACCTACTCCTCAATAGTGTCCTTATACAGGCCTCAGGGCTGAGACAGGTTGCTTAGTGTCTTCTTAGTTTTCTTACCCCTATAATGAGACTACAGCTGTTTGCTTGATGACTTCACCAGGGTTATCTGCATGTTTTTGGCACAACAGTCTTTAGAAATGTAATTTGAAAATGAAGCAAATGTACCTCTAAAATTGATTAACCACACACACCACTTAACTCATTAATGTGTTCTCATCTCTCCTGTGTTCACTCTGGACAGAGAGCGGTGTGGTGCTTCAGTGGGGGACTGGCATGGCAGCTCGGGCCAGGCGTGCAAGCCAAGGGAAAACCCTCCCCCTCTTCCTGACAGCCAAGGAGCCCTGCCAAGTAACAGGTAACTCAGGATGCTGATTCCTTTGTAAAACTGGACAGAGCAGAAATATAATTTGGTGTGATATGTAGCATCCTCTTATTATAAAGTCACTTGGTATTATAAGTGTGTAGTGGAGAATCTGAAGAAGAGAATGGATGTACACAGTCATAATCTGTGGGGGAAAATGACAGTGAGTCTTGCAGTGTCAGTGGCTGAAAGGCAGAGGCTTTTGTTACAGGGTTCATCACCATGGTCCTACTACACTTGCACACATGTTTATGCATGAAATGATACCTGCTGAA